TCTGAGACCAAAACCAGATAAAGACAAAACAATAAAAGAAAATTACAGGCCAATATCCTTGATGAACATAAATGCAAAAATCTTCAACAAAATATTAGCAATCAGAATACAGCAACACATTAGAAAAATTATACACCATGATCAAGTGGGATTCATCCCAGGGATGCAAGGATGGTTCAACATATGAAAGTCAATAAATGTGATACATCACCTCAACAAACTCAAGGAAAAAAACATGATTATCTCAATAGAGACTGAAAAAGCATTTGACAAAATTCAATATCCCTTCATGATAAATGCTCTCAACAAAGTAGGTATAGAAGGAAACTATTTCAACACATAAAAGCCATCTATGACAAGCCCACTGCCAGTATCATTCTGAATGGGAAAAAACTGAGAGCCTTTCCCTTAAGAAGAGAAACAAGACAAGGATGACCACTCTCACCACTTCTATTTAACGTCGTACTGGAGGTACTAGCCAGAGCAGTCAGGCAACAGAAAGAAATAATGGGCATCCAAATTGGAAGAGATAAAGTCTAACTGTCCCTATTTGCAGATGACATGATACTATATATAGAAAAACCTAAAGATTCTATGAAAAAATTCCTGGAGCTGGGTAATAATTTCAGTAACATTGCATGATACAAAATAAGTACCCCCAAATCAGTTGTATTTATATACTCCAATAATGAACTAACAAAAAGAAAAATAAAGAAAGTAAGCCCATTTTCAATAGTCACAAAGAAAATAAAATAGCTATGGATCAATTTAATCAAGGAGGTGAAAGATCTCTACAAGAGAACTACAAACCACTACTGAAAGAAATTAAAGAAGACACAAAAAGATGGAAAGATATTCAATGCTCTTGGATTGGAAGAATTATCATTGTGAAAAATTCTATACTACCCAAAGTGATCTACAGATTCAATGCAATCCCCATCAAAATACCAATGATATTCTTCACAAAAATGGAAAAAGCAATCTTAACATTCATATGGAACAAAAAAAGACCCCAAATAGCCAAAGTAATCCTGAGCAAATAAAAAATAAAAATAAAGCTAGAGGTATAACTTGTCTTCAAATTATACTACAAAGCTATAGAAACTAAAACAGCATGGTACTGGCAAAAAAATACATACTCAGACCAGTGGAGCAGAATTGACAAGCCAGAAATCACCCCTCAGGCCTAAAGCCATCTGATATTGGACAAAGGCAACAAAACACTACATTGGGGAAAAGACTGCCTCTTCAATAAGTGGTGCTGGGAAAATTGGATATCCATATGCAGAAGAATGTAACTAGATATGCACCTCTCACCATACACTAAAATCAACTCAAAATGGATTAAAGACTTAAGTAGAATTCCTAAGAATGTAAAATTATTAAGGGAAAATATAGGCAAAACATTTAAGGAACTAGGTCTGTGCAGAGACTTTATTAACATGAGCCCAAAAGCACAGGCAATAAAAGAAAAAATAAACAAATGGGACTATATCAATCTAAAAGTCTTCTACACAGCAAAGGAAACAGTCAACAGTGTAAAATGACAATCTACAGAGTGGGAGAAAATTTTTGCTAACTATGCATCCGACAAAGGATTAATGTCCATAATATACAGGGAAATCAAGCAATTACACAGTAATAAAACAAATAACCCAATTAGAAAATGGGCAAAGGAGCTGAATAGACATGTTTCAAAGGAAGACATACAAATGGCCAACAGGTACATGAGAAAATGTTCAACATCACTAGTCATCAGGGAAATGCAAATTAAAACCACACTGAGATATCACCTCACCCCAGTTAGACCAGCTATAATCAAAAAGACAGTGAATAACAAATGCTGGCGAGGGTGTGGAGAGAAGGGAATGCTCGTACACTGTTGGTGGGACTGTATATTAGTACAATCACTATGAAAAACAGTATGGAGTTTTTGCAAACAACTACAGATAGATCTTCCATATGATCCAGCAATCTCACTTCTGGTATTCCCAGAGGAATAGAAATCATCATGTTGAAGGGATACCTGCACTCCCATGTTCATTGCAGCTCTGTTCACAATTGCCAAGATATGGAACCAACCTAAATATCCATTGATGGAATACTGGATAAGGAAAATGTGGTATATATACACCATGGAATACTATTCTGCCATAAAAAAAAGAATGAAGTTCTCTCATTTGCAACATGGGTGAGCTTGGAGAAACTTATGTTGAGTGAAATAAGCAAAGCACAGAGGGATAAATACCACATGTACTCACTCATTAGTGGGAGCTAAGAGAGAAAAAAGGAAGGAAAGAAAGACCACAGTGCTGTATTGGACTTGTAGAGGGAGAGAATATACCTAGGGATACAAAGTGGAATGGGGGAAAGGGGGAGGAGGAGGGAGATTGTGGATAATTGAGTGGGGGACACAGGGTACAATCGCAATTTGTGGTAATGGGCTGCTGCCAGTATGAATCTAGCCTTCACGTCTTGCGCACAAGGGGTGACAGTCAGCTTTGTATCTCATGAATATTCATTAGCAATAAAAAATTTTTTTAAAGCCCATCAATGGATGATCGGATAAGGAAATTTCGGTATATATACACAATGGAATACTACTCAGCCATAAAATGAATGAAATTCTAGCATTTGCAGCAAAAAGGATGAGCCTGTAGAAAATTATTCTAAGTGAAACAATCCAGGTACGGAAAGAGAAATACTGCATGTTCTCACTCATAACTGGGAGGTGAATACATAAATAAACAAATGAACAATAAAGAGACAGAGAGAGAAAGAAAGAAAGAAACAATAATCACAGTAATAGATTGAACTTCTAGAAATCTAGAGGTGGAAAAGTGGAAGGGAGGGGGAGAGGGAACGGGCTAATGAGGAACTGGTCAACAGATACAGAGAATGATTGCATATTGAAATGGTGAGTAAGCTAACTATACTGATCTATCCACCACACATTCTACACAATTTTCGAAAATCAATGTTGTACCCCACATGTATGTATAATCTTTTTTTAAAAAAGGGATGTTGTTCCAAAAGTCTGTATTAAAATTAGAAAATATACAAATGGGCAGTATCTACTGCATATATCGTGAGCAGATCAGATATGATGTTGATGGGGAAGGGGGTAAAGGAGGAATTGGTAAAGGGATGTGAAAATCAACTATACTGTATACTGATAAAGTAAAATACATGAACAAATAAAACTGTACTCATTAAAAAAATAAAGATAAAAACAATTTATTTCAAAATTGGACAAAATACATGCACAGACATTTCTCCAAAAAAAAATGAAGAAAAAAAAACAATCATGACCAGTGAGCACATGAAAAGATGCTTAACATCATTATTTATCAAGAAAAAGCAAATCAACATAGCAATGAGATACTGTTTTATAACTACTGAGATGGCTATAATTTAACAATGCAAAATAATTATACCTGGCAAGGATATAGAAAAACTGGAATCTTCTCACTTTACTGGTGAAAATGTAAAATTATTCAGCCACTGTGGAAAACAATTTGGTATTTTCTCAGTAAGTTAGATATAGAATTACCATGTGACCTAGCAATTCCACTCCTGGATATGCAACCAGAAGTACTGAAAATGGGTCTTATAAAAGAAAAAAACCAAACAAAGAAAAAACTTGTACACAGATGTTTATAACATCAATAGTCATAGGAGCCAAAAGGAGGGAACAGTCCAAATGTGTATCAGCAAATGTGTGGATCAAGAAAATTCAGTATATCCATACAATATTTTTCAGCATAACGTACTGATAAATTCTACAACATGAATGAACCCTGAAAACTTTATGCTAAGTAAAAGAATCCAAAAACAAAAGGCCACATACTGTATGATTCCATTTATATAAAATATCCAGAGTTTGTAAATTCATAGACAAAAACAGATTAGTGGTCACCAGGGGCTATGGAAAGGGAGAAATGGAAAATTAATACTTAATTGGCGAGTATGCATAGAAACTGCAATTCTCATACACTCCTGCTGGGAATGTAAAATGGTAAAGTCATTTTTCAAAACAGTTTGGAATTTTCTTAAAAAGTTAAAAATATACCTACCATATGATCCAGCCATTCCTCTTGTACGTATTTACCCAAGAGAAGTTAATATGTTATACAAATCTTTGTTCATGAATGCTCATAGCAACGTTATTTGTAATAGTCAAAAAGTGGAAATGACCCAACTGTCCATCAACAGGTGAGTGGATAAACAAACTGGATTATACTCATACAATAAAATATCAGTCAGCAATAAAAAGAAATTAATACAACAACATGGGTGAATTTGAAAGGCATTATGCTGACTGAAAGAAGTGAGGTGTTTTTAAAAGGGGAAGAAAAAAGTATATCATTCCATTAACATAAAGCTCTAGGAAATACAAAGCTAATTTTTGGTGATAGAAAGCAGATCACGTGGATGTGATAGCAGTGGGAGAAAAACATGACTTTTTTTTTTTTTTTCCCTTTTTGTCTTTTTTCATGACCGGTAACAGGATCGCAACCCTCGGTGTCACGCCCGGACCGTGACCAGCAACGGGATCGCAACCCTTGGTGTCGCGCCCGGACCGCGACCAGCAACAGGATCGCAACCCTCGGTGTCGCGCCTGTACCGTACTCAACCAGTGAGCGGACTGGTCTCTATATGGGATCCAAACCCTCTGCGGGAGTGCCACTGCGCTCCCAAGCACCGCACTCTACCGAGTGCGCCACTGGGCCGGCCCAGAAAAACATGACTTTAAAGGGCCCTGAAGAGACTTTTGGGAGTGATGTATATGTTAATTATCTTGATTGCAATGATGGTTTCATGGGTGTATACATAAGTCAAAACATCCAATTGAACACTTTAAATATGTATTGTTTATTGTATTCAATTATACTTCAAGCAGTTTAAAAAAAAACTAAACCTAATCTGTAACTGTGACATTACAGTTGTATATTTAAAGAACATGGAAATAAAATGAAGTCTCGGGTACAAAACTAAAATGCCTCTGAATTTTTATTATCAAAATGAACACATGGTAGTTTGAGGGGCATGCAGTATGTTCATTTCTCTATAAAAAAATAAAATGTTTTTTTTCAAGTAATAATTCCCTATATACATGAGACTGTAGTAAAAGAGAGATTTTCACTCATTGCTTAAGAAAATGTAAATCAATCAGATCTTTTTGAATAACAACTAAACAAAATGCATCGATATACTTCAGTTGTTACATTTCTGAGAAGCTACAACACTGAAAAAAATAGTACAAAAAGAGATCTAAAATATTCATGCATGTTAACCATAATTCCATTTCCAGTAATTCACTCTCAGGGTCTAATTATGAGATATAATAAAAGAGTTAAGAAAGAGGAAATAGACGACAGCATTAATGTAATAAAATTTTGGAACCAACACAAATATCATACAACAGGAGATTAATAGGCTAAAGTTTGGGACATGCCTATGATAAATATGCACCCACTAAAATGGCACTTTCCGTGACCATTATGACCCCTCCCAACATACTGACATTACCTGGGGAAGGCTTGTGTCCAAATATGCCATTAAAGAAAGCAGGCATACGAATACTACCACCAATATCAGAGCCCACACCAATCACTGAGCAGGCAGCTGCCAAGGTGCAGCCTTCACCACCTATGGGAAACACAAAATATTCTTTTCAAATAAATGAATTAGCTAAATTACTATTTGCATAGAATATCTTTTTCCGTTTTCTCACTTTTAATCTTTCTGTGTCTTTAGATTTAAAGTGAGTCTCTTATAAATCACTTATGAGGATATTTCAAAAAGTTCACAGAAAAAAGGAATTAAAAATAATATAAATCTTTCCATGAACTTTTTGAAGATGTCTTGTATATTTGGATCATGATTTAATCCATTCTGCCAATCTATGTCTTTTGAGGATATTAATCTATTTATACTTAAAATAATTACTGATAAGGAAGATCTTACTTTTGACATTAAGGTATTTGCTTTCTGTACGTCTTACAGCTTTATTTGTACTTCTTTTTTTTTTTTTTAAGAAAATTTTATTTTACCTCTCAACATACATTGTAGTTGATTTTCATGCCCCTTTACCCATTCCTCTCCACCCCCTCCCCTTCCCCCACATCATATGTGTTAACTTGACTTAAAAAGTTCAAGGAATTTTTGTGATTGTTGTCTTCTGCCCTCCATTACTGACTTCCTTTGTGTTTAGCTGATTTTTTGTAATGGCATTATACTTCCCATCTCATTTCCGTTTATGTATATAGAGATATTTTATTTGTAGTTACCATAAGAATTACATAAAATACACTAAAGTTATAACAATCTTTTAAAAACTTATGCCAATTAACTTCAATTGCATACATCTTATACAGCTCTCTTCCCCAACTTTATGTAACTGATGTCATAAATTAAATCACAATGTATAAACACTGTGTACATACTAACAAAGATTTAGAATTATTTTTATGTATTGTCTTATAAGTTCTATATAAAATTAAAAAATGGTGTTACAAATCAAAATTACACTAATACTAGTTTTTAAGTGTGCCCATTTGTTTATCTTTACTGGAGATCTTTATATTTCCATATGGCTCTGAGCTACTCTCTAGCATACTTTCATTCAAATTGAAGGACTCCCTTTAGCATTTCTTGTAGATTATATCTAGTGGCAATAAACACCCTCAGCTTTTGTTCATCTAGGAATGTCTTAATTTCTCCCTCATTTTTGAAGAACAGTTTTTCAAGATATAGAATTCTCAGTAGAAAGTTATTTTTATTCCAGCATATTTAATATATCATCCCACTGCCTTCTTGCCACCAAGGTTTCTGCTCAGAAATCAGATGATAATCTTTTTGAGGATCCCTTGTACAAGATCAGTCACTTTTCTTTTGACATTTCAAGATTCTCTCTGTTTTTGGTTTGAAATATTTATCTGCCTTGGTCTGAGTTTCTCTGGAATTATCTTACTTGGAGTTCACTGAGCAACTTGAATTTGTAGTTCCATGTTGTTCTTCAAACATGGGAAGTTTTTGGCCACGATTTTTAAAATAATTTTTCTGCCCCTTTCACTCTCTCTTCCTTTTATTACTCCCATAATACATGTATTGGTCTTCCCCATGGTTTCCCATGAGTCTCTTAGTTTCTGTTCACATTCTTCACTCTTTTTTCCTTTTTGCTCTTCAAACCCAATAATTTCAAATGACATATCTTCAAGTTCACTATTTTTTTCTTCTGCCTGTTTGAGTCTGCTGTTAAATCCTCATAAAATTTTCTGGAGTGTGGAGCAAGATGGCCAACTAGGAGACACTGCTCATCTCTCCAACAAAGATGGAGAATGTATTGAATGCACAGCTACACTTAGATGAGAAAAATGTAAGGAGGGAGCTAGAATACACCAAGGGAGTAGAAGAGACATTGGTGAGTGCAGAAACTCGGGATAGTTACAAAGAGAGCCAACACTACCCCATCCCCCAATCCATTGTGGTGGGGATTCAAGAGTTTCTGATCATGGGAATGTGAGCAAACCAATGACCTAACACATGGGAAAGTCTGTGCTACCCATGTGGCCATGCACTCTGTCAGAAACTGCTACTGGCACATAAGGTTGTATTGGCCTGGGGAGGGACACATGTGAAGCTACTCCCACCCCGTAGGTCCCAGACTCCTGCAGAAAACTTGGGACAGAGACTGGTCCTTGGCTTTGGTCTTGTGCCCCGGGAATGGATGGCTCAGTGCAGCAAGGGTGCCACCCTGAGGACAGAGGGGATCAGTGTATGTACCCTCCAGACCCAGAAATCAGTTTATTCAGGTCAGGTGACCAAGGCCACTGATGCCTATGTTGCCAGGACACCTGCAAAATACCTATTGCCATGAGGAGGGGGAGGAGAACCCACACATCTCTTTCAAGGGTGGCTTCTGTGGCCACACACCTGGTATTAGGAACTCTTGCCAGCACACATGATTGAATCAATCTAAGGAGGGACACAAGCTAAACCACCACCCACCCCCGGACACAGGTTTCTGTAGCAGTCACATATCTAAGATCGGCATCGACACCTGAGACCATCCTCCCCTTGCCCCTGCAGTGGTTTCAACTCTTCTTTAGCCACATAACTATTCCACGTTGCCCATACCCACATCCACAGGGGTACTGTACCCTGGAAGAAGGCAGTCCAGTGTAGTAAGTGTGTCACCTCAGAATGAGGAGATTGGCACACACACTTTACAGAGTAAGAAAACTGCCTAATTGGGGCATCTAGTGACAACTGGCAACCACATATTCTTTGGTGAGGTACTCTTTGCAATTCAAGAAGCCACAACGAGGGCCATCCCGGTGGCGCACTGGATAAGTGCGCCGCTTGGGAAGCGCGGCGGCGCTCCCGCCCGAGGGTTCGGATCCCACATGCAGACCGGTTCCCGCTCACTGGCTGAGCGAGGCGCGGGGGCAACACCGAGGGTTGCAATCCCGTTGCCGGTCCCCGGTCCGGTACGGGGGCAACACTGAGGGTTGCGATCCGTTGCCAGACACGGAAAAAGACAAAAGACAAAAGACAAAAAAAAAAAGAAGCCACAACGAGGTAGAGAAGGACTTGTATGCCTCTCTCAGGCACAGAAAAATGTCTGCAGTACCAATGAGTCCACCCAGGGCTGCTTTCCCCAACGAGGAAGCTTTAGAGGGATCCACCAACTCTCCTGGGGAAACAGCAGCCCACCCACAGCCTCAGAGATCTCTTGCAGGGCAGCCAACCCAAGCTAAGGACATCCAGAGTGTCCCAGAAATGCTCTTAGGAACAAAGGAGCCTGTCCACAACTGTAGCAGCCTCGCTCACAATGGCCACTCTAGCTGAACATCTATAGACAGCCCCAGCATCTCTCTTGGGGGCAAAAGGTCATACCCAAACTGCTAACACCTCACTCATAGTGCCCCACTTCAACAGTGGTGTTGCAGATGATCCAGAATCCCTCCTGAGAGTACAGGGCTCTACACACAATCCAGTGATGCCACTTAATGTTGCCAACTTCAACAGTGAAGCTACACAGTAACTCAATGCCACCCCTGAGGGTACAGGGTTCTCTTCAGAGAATCAGTGACACCATCAAGTCACCTATTCTGCCTGAGGAGCTGCTGAAAACCCTATTATCCCCATTGAAGCCAAAAGAACTAATTCTGACCCCCAGGAACTGCACACAAGTCATCCATTTAAGCTGAAGACCATTAGAGAACCTATCAGGACACAGGAGGGTGCTACTGAAGCTGATCAAGGCCACCCATCTCAGCCAACGAGCAACAGGCACCCAGCTACTTCTCCTAAGAACTTAAGATCTCACAAATGACCTACATGACCCAACCAAGTCTCACTCACTCCAGCAAAGAACTACCAAGATCCGCAGTGCCCAGGCCATGGAGAAACCCACAATGCTGACACTGAATAAATACAGTCAAAGTAACCACACAGAGACTACACAACTGTGTCTACAAGGAATGAAAACTAAAATACCTTATCCAATAGTCAACATAAAACCCATCTACAGAAGGGAGTCTCTCCACTCCAAAGCCACTCCTGAGTATTAGAAGAAGGAACTGCTCAACAAGATGCCCAGACATAAATGTAGGGATACTAGAAACACAAAAAACAAGAAAATATGTTACCCCCAAAGGAATACAATAATTCAATACCAGAACCCAAACACAGGAAACCTATGAAATTACTGAAAATTTCAAGTAGCAATCTTAAGGAAATTCAATGAGATACAAGAAAATTCAAATAGAAGCCCCAATGAAATGAAAAAGAAAACAATCCAGGATCTCAAGGAGAAATTTTATAAAGAGATAAATACCTTTAAAAAGAATATAGCAGAACTCATAGAAGTGAATTATTCATTCAATGAAATAACAAACACCATCAATAATTTAAGCATCAGGCTACTGCAAGCAGAAGAAATAATTTCTGACTTCAAAGACAGGCTTTATGAAATAACCCAGGCAGACGGAAAAAAAAAGAATTTTTAAAAATGAGGCAAACCTACAATAGCTGTCAGACAACTATAAGCACACAAAAGTCTGAATTACGGGTGTTCCAGAAAGGGAAGAGAAAGGAAAAGGCATGGAAAACCTATTCAATGAAATAATAACAGAAAGCTTCCCAGGTATTAGGAGAGATACACACTTCCAGATATAAGGTTCTCAAAGATCCCCAACCAGATTCAACCCAAAAATTTACTTTCCAAGACTCATTATAGTCAGACTGTAAAAAATCAAAGAAAAAGAGAGAATCCTAAAAACAACAAGAAATAGCATCAAATCACCTATAAAGTAATTCCCATCAGACTAAGAGCAAATTTCTCAGCAGAGACCTTACAGGGAAGGAGAGAATGGAATAATATATTCAAAGTACTAAATTTAAAAAAAAAAAAAAACTGCCAGCCAAGAATACTACACCCAGCAAGGCTATCCTTCAGAAATGAAGGAAAAAGTAGTGCATTTGCCAGACAAACAAAAACTGCAGAAATTTACTTCCACATGACCAGCTCTAAAACAAATCCTCATGGGAGTCCTGCATCTGGAATCCAAAAAAAGATAATCACCACCATGAATAGATGAGAAAGAACAAAACCTATTGTTAGAACATAGATGCAAACCAGA